CAGCAATTTTTGGTCTATGGTGGTTATTGTATGAAGTTGAAAACAAAGGAGAGCACTGTTTGGGGCTGTGCAGGGTGGGTGCCATCCCTTGCAGTCCCATGGGCTGCATTTTGCCATGGGGGCTGGAGCAGTGCTTGTGAAGCTGTGCTCTGGGAGACCTGGGGCAGAGACTGTCTGCTGCTGCTCTGCTCCTGCAAGCTGGAGGTGACTTTCTGATTCCCAAGTGCTTCATTCCCAGTTTGGGTCCTTCACCTTGTGAATGCAAAAGCTGTCTGAAGCAGGGGCCTTTGCGTGGAGCAGTGTCATGGCAAGCCCGGGTGCCACAGTTGGGTTGTGGGTGTGCAAGGACCATGGATCACTGCTGACGAGGGATCGTGTGCCCCTCAGGTGCTGAGTTCAGGCTAGGCAGCTGCAAGGAGCAGGAACCAGAGGCCAAGCTGCCACAGACCCAGCAATGGGTGCTGGACACACCACGGTTACCTGCAGTCCATGGCAGGTGTCCGTTCTCAACGTCGTGGTAGACCAGTCTGCATTTCGGGAGGTGTGATCTGTGAGCGGCTGAGTTGTGACTGTAGCTCCAAGCTGTTCTGTTTGACTTGAGTTTTTGGTGTCCCGGTGAATCAACCAAACCCTGCAGGCAAAAGATTTGGATCTAAGTAAATACGGGTCAGTCTGTTGTCTGAGACTTCCCCATGGCCTCTGGCAGTCCGGAGGACTCTCAGAGGCTCAGCTCCTGATGGGAGTCTGGCATGGTGCAACTGCTGGCTGCCCTGTTCTGTGTGAGGCAGGTGATTCCTCTTCACAGGGTGTCTGTCATGCTTCACTGTTATGGATGATGTGGTGTGTGTATGGGTACACAGGGTTGTTGCAGCTGGAGGATGCCTAAAGCACCAAATGTGTAAGGTACCTTAGGCCAAAGTAGCCCACTTCCACTAGAACTGACTTTTGCAGCTGTGAAAACCCCACGGTGTGAGCAGGGCAGGAGCCTGGCTGGGCTCTGTCTACCCTCCTCATCTCATTGTGGCTTTCATGGCTGGGGATTTGCCCTTCTTCCCCAGTAAGGATTTCTCCTCTGTGAGAGAAGGAGCGGGCTTCACCTTGCCTGGTGCCTGCTGCTGGATGTGGCACAGGAGATGGTCGAGGCGTACAGCTGGACCACAGTCCGCCCCACTTGAGGAATAGTTTTCATCCAAGCAGGAGCAAAACCCTGTGCTATTGGGTGGGTTGGCGGGAGGCGAAGCGAGCAATAGCCCCGCTCCTCCACTGCACTGTGCGGGGGGCCTGGTTCCCAGTCTCTGTCCCCAGGTTGTGAGGGATAGCTTCCTCTCTGGGAAGTTGCTCAATCTGCAGCAGCTGGCCAGGGAGCTCAGGGCTGCTTTTCCACCCTTGCTAGCATGGTTGCTGCTGCTCTTCAACGGTAGCTGGGGCACTGTGGACCCAGCATATGAATTCAGCGAGGCTCCTGCAACTGTGCGTCTTGGACTTGCCTGGGCTGCTCCTCTCATATGGTGGCATGCTCCATGTCTCTAGTCATCACACAGACGTGTAGAGCAGGGCCTGTGTGTATCACAAGATGTGCAAATGCTGGTGTCTACCTGCAGAGAAGTTCAGGTGGCACCTCTATGCTGGCGGGACAGAGGATAGGTTTCAGCAGAAAATACAGTCTTTCTTTTATCCTCCAGTTGTGTCTTCTCCTGGGGCGGGAGGGAAATGAGTCTGGGAATCACAAAGAGCTTTAAGCATTGGGGATCTTCTTTCTTTATTTCTCTGCCAAAGCCATGAGCAAGATGTTGGAACACAGACAAAGCCCAGAGACGTAATCCTGAGCACATGGAAGTAGTTTGAAAGCATCTTCTCTGGGGTAACAAGGATGACAACTTGTGCTTAATGCCCAGCTTCTTTCCAGAAACGTGGGGCAGGTGAACATGCTGTTCGTTGTAGCAATGAAAATAATGGCTAAATGCAGGTGACAGGCCAGCTGTATCCATGCACCTCTGCCCAGCATTCACCAAATGTGTTCTAGTACCGGGTGGGAATGCAAACAGCAAGTGGTGAGATGGTGAGGCAAGATGCTGCAGGTGTCCAAGGAGGACTGTACGCTGAGTGTCGGCACTTATTTTCTGCAAATCGGCATCCCACAGCACAACCACCTCTGGCCGTGCTGCTGGCCATCTACCCCCATGTGCAGTCAGCAAGGGCACACCTTGCTCAGTGCACCCTGCTCCTTGGTGGGAAGTTCGCAGAAGAGATCACAATGTGAGAGCCTTGTGAGCGTCTTGCTGCTGGTCGCTTCAGAAAAGATAGCCAGCCAGCATGTCTGCCTCTAAATACTAGAGCAGAGTCACGGCCTCTCAGCTCCCAGAGCCTAATTTTTGAGCTTCACCTCAAACATAACCCTGTCTGCGACTGAGCTGTGCAAAACTGAACCATCCTACAGACTGTGAGCGCAGCCTAAAACTGAGCATCGGTACTGAGTGTGGGTGGAAGTCACGGACACAGGAGCTACAGGCCCCTTTAGTGACAAAGAGCTGAAAAATCTTTGTTAAAGTAGTCAAGGTGTCTTCTGCAGAAGCTATAAACTCAACCCACGGGTGGACACTCAATATCAGAGCACCTTTTGTTCCTATTCCTGGCTCTCTATCCATGCGGGACCCTCTCGTTCCTGTCCTGCAGAGCTCAATGTAGCCAAGGTCTGAAAAAGCGACTAGTAGCACCAGGATCGGACGTGTTGCTGACTGAAGAGCGATAAAAAGCAAGGACAGCCTGCCAGGGTAAGCGGCCCACTTCTGGGGGTGGGATGCTCTGTGCCGTGCTTTCTACGCCACTCGTGATAACCTGGCTTGCGACTCGGAGAAGTGAATGGACGTGCCCTTGTTGACTCTGAAGGTTTGACCATGCTAACACCTCTCTGCTGCACAGAGTGCCTCATCTCTGTTGGCTGGCCTAGTCTTTCATTAAAAAAATGAACAAAAAAAATGGGGCCTTTCTTGTGGTAAGTGCTCCTGGCTGGTTTCGTATGTATCCCATTTTTTGCGTCGCTGGACACCAAGTTGAAACTTCCAAGATCAAAGCAGCACAGAATGAATCTGAAAGTCTTTGTCTGCTCAAATTTACCATGCTGCCATCAGTGTGGGATGCCCAGGATGAACCCTTGCTCCAGCTGGTGCAACCAGCCATTGATTTGAGTGGAATCAAATGGCTCAGTTGAAGACCAATGGGGACCCACCAAAGACTTGCATGTGCTCCTCCTGGACGTCAGTGGATGTGGTAGAGGGGAAGCTTCATGGGCCTTATGGTCACCCCCAATGGGATGCAATGCTGTGGCTGGCTGGTGGTTTGCATGGTGCAGGGAAGAAAAGCTGCAGGAGTTCTGATGATCTGAGCTAGGTGTCTACCTTGAGCTTCGCAGCCTGCCTTAGGTGTGGCAGTGTTTGCAGGAGACAGAGTTGCGAGGCTTCCTGAGCAGGTTCCATCAGGAGGATGGAACCTCATTCCCTGAGGCTGCCTGTCAAACTTCAGTGACTCCCAACAAAAACCTAGCACTGCTGAGTCTCCAACATGGTTGAAGGATGCGGATTATTTGCTGTCTGTTGTCATCTTTCTGAATACATTTACCTTTTGAACAAGGTCCTTCTCATATTCTCAGGAGGCTGGTATGCAGACCCGTTAATGGATCAAGGGGAAAAATGCCTGTGGATGTATTCTCCTTTGTGTTTGGGCTTATAACCACCCACGTTTTGGCATACATCCCTTCTGTGCACAAAGATGTCTTTTAGAAATC